AATACGTGTTTAATATATTTCAACAATCTAACTGATAGACAAACAAACAATTTCTTTTTCTAGTCGTAATAAAAAATCATTACTTTTTGAATTTGTTGTTATCAGATTCAGAAGACTTGTCAAACATACGCTACCTAATGATTTTGTTCTCTAAAATGTAAGAATTAAAATTCATTTTTCCAGTTTTTTATTCACACTATACATTCGATATTTAATTTTAAAAAGTGAATTTATATTATCTATTTTAAATAAAAAAAAATTGTAACCTATATGAGTTTGTATTTCATAATGAATGAGATGTTATTCGCAAAACAAAATAATATAAATGCCTACTTCAGAAAACAGGGGTAACTTGAATTCGAGCCAACATAATAAATTGCGTTCCATTTACCAATATGACTAGATCATTTTCGCTTAGTTATTGAAAAAAATCAGTCTGCTTTCCTGAAGTCGATAAATAAAAAATCCAATATTCACTCAGAAAACGTCAAATTTTCAACAAACGCAGACTTTCTTGCGGTGGGATTATATCTTTTGCCAAGTTTATACTAAAAATAACACCCTTTTGTAAACTTATTTTAGAAACAATCTCTCACCCTCTTTAAAGTAAAATTGCGGTAGGTCATGATCCGACTTGAACCGTGACATAACTAGACATTTTTCATTTCAGAACCGGATTAGAAACTCTAAAGGCTTCAGATGAAAGTCGAAAATGTTTTTTTTACTTTCAATAGTGCAATGCCCCGTCTCGTCTGCCGACTGGGTCATAGCTGAGTGGCGCCTTCAGCGATATTGCGCTTATCCCGCGATATGTGCTTAGTGCTTTATCTTACAGAGAACAATAAGAGAACAGACAGTCCAACAAAGTTCATTCGCAGCAATTATGCATTAGACTTTGTGTCTAGAACAAATCTTATTGTTAACTAGCTTTCCGTCTGAGACTTAGATCGCGTGAAATTCGGTTATTATCGCACTTCGTATAAACTCATAGGTACTTCGAAACCCTATCCATTTTTTGCAATAAAAACATAGGACATAGTATATGTCCTTTCCCAAGATCCCCTATATCGGTGTACGAAATTTAATTAAAATTATATAATGGTTTACACACACACATATGCGCGATTTCAAATCCAATCGGTTCACTACTTCTTTTTTTTTATTAAAATAACAGCGGCTTCCTCCGCGTGGTCTCTAGGGAACTGTTTAGTGGGATAAAAAGTAGCCTATATGTTAATTAGCCTAATGTTAATTGGCTTAGAATTATCCGTATACCAAATTTCATCTAAATCCATTTATTAGTTTTTGCCAGAAAGAGTTTCGCATTTATAGTATTAGTAGGATTTCTGAATCTTTCAAAAACTGTTATCAATAGGAACATAGATTTGTTCAAATTTTCTATAACATTATGATCTCGAGATGACGTGCAATACAATTTAGATAAAAATATTTCTCTAATTTTAATATCTTTTTTGCACCGAAGAAAAATGCACAGGGAAAATTAAAGTTCTTTAACAAGATAAGTTTGTAAATATACATTCATTAAAACTCTTACGGTTATATAAACAAGATTTGCGTCAGAGTTACTTTTCGCTAAAATTGTAATTATAGTATGAGTCTAAAATCATATTATACAGAGAATAAGCAAACCTACTAGGAGTAATAATAATCTCGTTGCAACTCGTGCTAGGTTAACCTTTGCTAAGTCCCTGTTTAATAATATGAATTTTGACTAACACTAAATGCAGTCTTAGCATAAACTTACTCCAACGCTAAAACTTGTTTATTCATAACACTGTATGAATATAAATGTAGATAAAACTAGTGCTATGGAAACTCTTAATCAATTCAACCAATCAAGTAGGTTTATAATTCCAATTAATGGTGAATTTTCTTAACTTTCATACTACTTAATAATAATAGTACATAATATCCTCCAACTAGTGGTTTAGTATGACAAGGTGTTTTAAAAGTTTTTGTCGTTAGGGATACAAACAAACCTGAACAGGTAACAAGTAGGCTATATAGGGGTCGGTAAGGCTTTTTTGTGAGCTCTCTATTTCGAGAGCAAACTCCGAAGACATTGTACATTTACTAACCTGAATCCACATAAAATTTACCTACGTTTTGTTTAGACTTTAAGTACCCACTCATAAACGAATAGAAGTACTTGATTTACTGCCCCTATTCTATAGAAAATTTAGTCGAGTGACAAAAACTATTAACTATATTTAAAAGCGAGAAATAAACCTTAAAACTGTATTAAGTCATTAAAAACTTTCAATATAAAATACGCATATAAATTTAAAACATTTTGTTTACGATAACAACACCTTTAAGTTTAGTAAACATTTACATACATTGAAGTAGAGTGAATATTTAACAAAACATCGACTCTACAGTGAACGAAACTGTCAGAATTTGCCGAGTAACACAATGACTCTCTAGTTACTGATAACAGCTACACTTCTGATAAATGTGATATCACACTACGATATGATATTCTTGAAGCATTTAATACAACACTCATAGAGATCAACGCTTATACAAAACAGATGGGGATCGACCTTAACATATGACATCATGCCCTCCTATTACTTTAGTTATTTCTATTATATTTGTATTAATTTACATACCAGCTTGTCGTTTTCCCACCATCCTCGATTGTAAGATGTTCTGCGACAGAAAATCCAAAGTACGAACCAGTTTCTCCAAACTTTATTATAGGAATCCTCGGTTCTAGATTGAAATTAGCGGCACTATGTAAAAGGCACAATAATAAAACACCAACGCACACAACTCTTAAAGCCATTTTCGAGAAGTTCGTCAATGCTTCGTTTAAATCGTGATTTTACACTAATTCACTTGTTTTTCATTTATTATTAGACACATCGCGATTTTCGTAGTAGTTTCGGGATAGTGAGTGACGTCGAGACCCCCAGCACGCTCGCCGATCACCGGTCGAGTATGCCCACTATCTCAGTTGCCAATGTAAAGACTGTAGAGCAATGTAGAGTCACTGCCACAGTTCGTAGACAGACACGCGGTCACATTACAGGCAGTGTACAGTTGCTGCCACGTTTTTAAATATCAGCGCCATCTATGCTCGTAGATCCGTATTGCTTCGCAATACGTCAGCGTCATCTAAAGCGAATGAAGTAATATTGACTTTTACTGTGTATGAAATACTTCTTAGTTTCAGTCGCTAACGGTAGATAGCCTTATATTGATATAAATGGGAAGCATTCAAGAAAATATACTAACTTCTTAGATTTGCATGATTTACATGAAAATAAATAAGAATATCTCGTAACATTTCCTGTCGTATGTTTTATAAAATCAAAACGATTTGGTCAATGACTATTGGACCGATCTAAAAATTCTTTCACCTACTACCATCCGTAGTGGGTGAAAGAACATAGGCTATAATTTACGTGGTCAATGTCGTGAAACAACAGCTAGTAACTTAGGAGTCACCCAGATATGTCGCCTAAATATTTAGGAATCGCCTAAGGTAAAAATACATTTCACCATTGACGAAGAACCACCTAACGAAATTAAGCAATCTCTAAAGTTATAATATTCGTTTGTACGGTGCCTTGTGCTAGGTGTTTGCGTATACCTATGACAGGCCATAAATATGTCAAGGTATAAAAAAAAGAATAAAAGAAAAAAATATATATTTAGAATGAAATTAATCTGCTTAGATGATTTGTAATATCAGGCGTTTCCTAGTTAAGCTACGCCTTGTTCTAGGTTAGTAAAAATAGGTGTAATATTGCTTGTGGCGACTGATACATAGTGACATCTAATTCATCGCAGTAACATCGCCACAACAATACTGTGGCGACTGATACATAGTGACATCTAATTCATCGCAGTAACATCGCCACATGCTTATATTTCGTTCTTACAAAAAGCTCACTTATTGAATTGAGTACAAAAACAATGTATTTCTCATAGTATATTATTTTTAAAAAGCTTTTATCTAAGTTGCAATGAATGCATGTCTTGTAACAACTTGTCAATAATCATGTAATTAATTTTATCTTCTTTATCCTCGAACTATTAAGTCGAACAGACGAGTTTAATTTAGATGGTAATGGTAGCAATTCTGTAAAACTAAACTTAATAACAAGGATAGATATGAAAATTTTATTTCTGAAAGTGGTACAATACAATCGACAATCGAAGTAGCACCATATTAAATTAATATCAACACTTTTGCAAACTTTTTCTTAGAATTTAATAAGTGAGACGTCGTTGACTTTCTTTTCCATTTCAACGTTAATAGGGATGTCATTTTTTTATATTTTTCCGTTAGATATATTGTTGAAAAATATCGAACACGTATTTTTGTTTTAGCGTAATCAATAACTAACGACATTACATTGAATTGAAATGTGGCATGACGTCACACTTTGATACATTTTCTATAAAAATGTGACGTTGCGAGGCCGCACTCTTCAACTTTAATGCGTATTATCTAAGCAATTTCATGTTTAAATTGAAACAAATAGAACACGTATCTCATTTTTTCCATTATTAGACTGACGGACTGATTAGAATTCTGTTTTTTACCCAGTCGTCATCCCTATTAAATTATCTGTTGTAAATACCTTCGAATATGTACGCGATACATTTATTTTATTTTTTCCTGGTTATGAAGTAACCAAGTTTATAGTTATCCTTTTACTTTTACAAGGAAAAATAATGTGATAACAATTTGACATACTTATTTTTAAGAGGAAAAATTTACATAACTGCTTAAATGTGTATTCCACGAAATCTGTCAAAATATGTACTCCTAGCAAGTTGCGAAAGGTCGTGCGTTCGAATCCTATCTCAGAGTACCAAGTACAAAGTGGATTGTTAAAGCATTTCTCATTAGGAATATTAAATCAATTTATTTACTTTAATACAATGCTATAATTGCATTATGATATAAATTATGATTAAACATATAACACAATTTGTCGAAAAAAAACCACAAAAGTATTCAGTTTGTAATCAATTTATTAAATAAAATCGGCTCACAAATATTCGAGGTACAAAATAGGAAACATAAGGATACCTACCGATTAAGAAAAAAAAAATATAATATCATAATAAAGGTGTCATAATAATTTTATAATATTGTAGTCTTTTCACTATTCTCTCCGATAAGTGTTTAAATTTACTGACAATAACTTTGGTACGGACTGTTCTACATAAATTAAACACTTAAAATATCAAATATAACTAAGAAGCAAGAATACTGATGAATCATTAGTTAAAACAGAAATTATACAATGTAGGTTAAAAGAACCTACCAAATCTAAGGTCTGCTTGCGTCGTTAATATTCCATTGTTAAATAAGCAGCCCTCTGTGAGATGAAACGTCGAGATTGATCGAGCTTTGGCGAGAAATAGCTCGAAAATATCATTCGATATCGTAATCGAAATCTACAACCTGTTGCAAGCTGCACATTATGACCTAATTTCGGCCATCTTTCTCGGTTGCAAACTCGAGACCAGATCGGTTGGCATTTGACATGAGCCACTGTAGCGCCAGGTAGGGTTTTTTGATGCAACAACGTCTCGAAGGACAAGCTTTGTCATAGACGCTGTAGCACCATTCAGACCTTTGTAACTTCTTAGGGCAGAGGATGGAATGTGAGTTCGGTCTGTGAGTGGGCAAACAACAAATTCAACTGGGAGTCCAATCCGACATTGTATACTTTCACAAGTTTAGCAGTAGATTGCCCTGGCTCCTTGCGTACTAATGCTACTCCAGAAACTTTCATAAGGTGTACTTCAGAGTCAACAGAACCGCCACCAGTCGTGGCAAGTTTAACGTGGCATGTGACGTCGACGTGGATATATTTCTCAACGGCCATCCCGCGCTTTCCTGGTACATCAACATATTCAGTTTTCTCCTCTACTTGGGGCAGATCAGCTCTGAACACACACGCCTCGCCTAAAACGCCCTGCAAATAAAAAAACGCCACCATGAGTAAGCATTTAGCATTCCGAACCAACTGCCAAGGTATGATCTTAAATTATCTTGGCTGATAGCCAACGAGAAATGCAATAAGAAATTGTTAATGCCAAAAAAGAAATTTATTGTTTGCCTTTAAGCATGAACTATTTAAAAATATACTTTTTATTTTCTATTACTTCGTAAAGTCGATAATGAATCACGCAGTATATTTACCCCATTTCCGGAAATACTGAATTTCATTCCTGGGTGTATTGCACGAGGTTCCATGCCAATGCCTTCTGGATGTGAGTCCGACCAGAAATAATTTTCAGGAGCATTAAGTGTATCAGGCTTGAATGTGATGCGTTTCCCATAGCCCATGCCAATCGATTGCAAGAGAAGACTGCGTCCCTCGAACAAATGCCTTCTACTTCCAGCAGGACGCACGCGGTAATGGAATCCAGGGATAACGCGTGGGTCTACATAAGTTCCTATAAAAAGTGTAAATTTATTATTTATCTGCAAATTTGTGGAACTTATACCTTAATAGTAACTTATATAAACTCATTTTATTTAAAAAATAATTACCAATGACAGGGAGTTCATATCTCTCGAGTCCGACTAAACTGTATTGGCAGGGAATGTCTTTAATATCTCCACCATTTACAGTGATTCTCCTGGCCGATGATACAATGCCAGGTTTTAGTTCATAACCCTTCTTCAGCTGTTTGATACCAATGGCTACATTAATAACTCTAGTCACAGCTGCTTTGCCTCTTCCTTTTTTAAGAATGGCAACACCTGTTACTGGTACCAGTTTTGTGGCAGCATCTTTTTCGTACCATTCGACTTTGCATAAAGTGTTGACTTTCACTTTCTTCTCAATAGATCCATCATCATAAATTTTCTGATCAAGCTCCACTTGATTCTTCTGCAATTATAAATTAAGAATATTACTGATATTACAATTAATAATCTAACCACTCACTGTTAGCATAATTTTCCTTCTTTATTTACCTGCTGTTGAACAACTTCCAGAGTCCCCTGTGGTTCATGATTCGCATCATAAATAGTGAATTTATCTCCGATAGATATTGCCTCAATTTCAAACACAAAGCCTTCTGGCCTCGAGTCGGTCCAGAAATAATTGGTATTGTCATTGAGACTCGAGTCAACCGGTTCGAAGGTGAGACGTCGAGCGAATCCACGGCCTATTGATTGAAGAGTGAGAGCCTTCTCTCCGAATAAGTATCTTGGCTTCACAGACAGAGGCTGGGCATCCAAACTCTGTAAACCATTAAATATATTGACAAAGCTATTCTACTAAAATTACTATATTACTTCAGTAATGATTTAATTTCTTAACATTGATTTGTTTATTTTTATTTAGACATTTTTTCACAATTTTTTTTTTATAATTTTACAACAAAGTCTTCGTTAATCTCTTTTGAATTTGGCGTTCCATGCAATGACTATTTTTTCAGTCATCTCATATTCATAGTAATATGTAAAATACTTAGTACAATGAAATGTGCGAGTGAAAAGTTACGTGCGAACTCAGTTGATGAGTTGATGAGAAGAAACAATCATTACATTACGACAAAATAGTTGACCACAAATGTGAGGCGTCAAAGCCCTTATGAATGATACTTATGGTTTACCTATTTCGGACAGAACATGCTGCCATCCGTGTCTCATTTGACCTGTTGATCTGCAAGCTTCGTGGTTTGTATTCAACGCCGCTCTGGGCGAGGTTCTGAAAAACTGGACGATCCACATACCATCGCCTACACGACAAGAGCAACAACCATTGGCGCGAAACGTAAGTGAAACAGTGTTGATCGTTGATGATATTTACTTTCTGGAAATTTCAGCAACGGACACCGCTACTCACTGATCTAACCCGAATCGAATAATTGATCGAATCACACTGAACCGCTGAAATCGATTAGCAGATATTCCAGAATTGAATTTGGACTTTGAAACATTTATTAAAACACATATTACTGACTGCCTGACCTTATTTATTGATAAATTGTAAATTATACTACTTTGTAAGGTTGCCATTGAAATGGTACCTGAAGTTATTATTTAAAACATTGTATTTCAATAGAAAACAACTTAATAAAATTGTAGTACAAAAATAATAATAAATGGTCAGTTCATAAATAAATTATTATATAATAAACGCCAGATATTGAAGTAAATAAATACCTATGACAACCTTACATACGAATCAACTTCATGTATAAATATTATATAGTATAATATTAACATGCAGTTAAAATTTGAAAAATGGCACATCGGTTGTAGTTACATAAAAGGAAACTTCGCGAATATTCTTCATGTAGTTTATACATTATTTAAAAATGTTTTAATGTTAACACAATATTGGATATTTATATATTTTTTCGTATTTAAAAGTGATATTTATACAGTTAAAAAGTCCGAATTTTCGCTAAGTTAATGAACATATTTGCAAGATATAACAGTAAACTCACCATCCGATTGATTCTGAAAATCAGACCTTGCATAAATGTCCTGAGAGTAACCACAACCGAGTTTCATTAATAATACGAACATTAATTCCAAAATTACTGTCGCGATTAAATTTATTATAATATTATATATTTAATTTTACTACAACACGGGGAAATACGACATTACAAACTTTGTAGACTTAACGTCATAGAGTTCACTTAAAATAAAAAAAGGAAAAAACAACTCCCTAAGCCGTTTCCCTCCCAAAGATATTCTGTGTTATGTCCAAACTCATTTCTCGTATAATATCAACTTTATCCAGCGTAACCGTTTCTTTCGCGGTTCAGTTTTAATGAATTTTGACCGAATCTGATATGGATCTTCTTAGTTTTTCCCGTATGTACCAAATGGAAACTCCACATTGATGATACAAAAGCGATTTGTGATCGGTACATTATATGTATCGTCGATGATAAAGCGACAATTAACACGTGTGATGAATCGTCGGATTTCTACTGTCCTTTTATTGTTTCTACTAAAATAAAACTTTTTCGAAATGTGGAGGATTGCTTGTACTTTATTATCATTAAGTTGCAATCATCAACACTTCATAAAACTTGTTATCACGACGATTCAACACCACCCTGCGCTGTGATAGGGTTACGACAAGAATTAAGAGTTTACATAAAAATCACTCGTCTCACCTGCATCGGTCTAACTTTATATCTGAAACCGGTTCTGACACGGGGGTCGATATACACCCCGATCACGGGCATCTGGTGAGGGGCTGGTTGGGGTACACGGTACACGGCTGGCACATCGCCGAGGGTACTTGCGTCCAACACCACCTCCTTTTCGTATGCACTTTCCGTCCAATAACCCTTAGTTGGCACCTCGGGTATTTCCTGAAAAATGCTCTTCTTGTACCATCGCTTCAAAAAAACGCCTCAAACAAAAATATAGAATCCCCACTTCGAATATTTCTAAACATATGCTCCCGTAGTCTCCGCTAAACTCGCATAGTTCTAATTCAGCAATCATTTTATGTATCTTCTTTCAGTTTTGCCTGATTAAACTAATTGTAATCGACTGACTGCTACCAAAAGGAATAAGGAACTGAGACTAAGTTATTCTAATACCTAGTTGGCAAATGTGGGATTAAAACGTCATGTTGTTTTGCAATTTCTTGCCAAGTAAAAGTTATGTCAAATGGACACATGCAAATGAATTATATATATCTACTGCGTTTACTATTGTTTTGGTGTAACAAAATAGGTGTAAATATTATTTTTTATTTTATATCATTATTCAAGCGAAATCAGTGCAGTGATTGAAAATCTAGTAAATATTCCTAAAATATTTTCATGGTATGATTTTTATAGCATCACCGCAAAAAACAAAAATTATTATTTGATATTATATCGAACGGAAAAAAAAAACATGATTATGTTGCACAAAATACAACAAATGCCTTTGGATAATAATAATATTTTATTTTCATTCATCGCCTGTTTCAAATTGTGTCGCGGATGGGTTTTGGCGAAAACCACCCTTGATCATATCCTTTCCAATCATAAATGCAATGATACAAAACGTACTCGATCACGTTATTCCAAATGCTAAATAGAAGGTTTCAAAATAATATATGACCAATAAATGAACAATGAAAATAGAATAGAGAAGACGTACAAGTCAATATCAATCACAAACAATATACTTAGGCATTGACGCGTAGAGGGCAATCAAAGAAAATTGTCTTGTTGACTACGGGGCAAAGTCCACCCAGAGAAGAAATCTTTTAGCGATATACTCGTATTTGCTCAGTTCTATTTCAGGTCGTGTGCAGTATAGGTGTCTGGTAAAATACATATTAACACCGCCTACGATTAGTCTAAAAACGTATTAAAGTAAACCCACAAAACGTTGCGTTAAAAGAATATGTAGTACAAAACACGGGTATCGCAAAAACTGTTGAAATTACTTAAAAATGCAAATGTTAAAACTCTTTACAATGGCACAAAAACCAACAAGATTGAGAAGTCTTATATTTGTCGACACAACTCATGAATGAATGGGCGTTGGAAGCAAAACAAGTGTCCAATTACAACAGAACGTATTGATATTTTTGTATGTCCTATCATGTTCTGTATGCACACTCGTTTTCTTTATACATCTATTAATACGTTCAATCATTTCAGGGATGACGCACGTAACATCAATAAGGTTATGAAGGGTGTGTCATGATATTAGTAAATGATTAAATAACATCCCTGAGAGTCAATACTCATTAGTCATTGCGGATGGCCACCGGGTTGAGTATTTCCAATGTTTACTATCTAAGAATGTCTGTTATCTAGCTCCGGGTGCACTTACAGTTCTCAGATTTACGATAATATTCAAAGTAGGTAAAACAAGCTATTTCCACAAAAGTGTACCTATTTTGTATGATATCTTTTTCGAGTGTCAAGTGAGTAATTACATTTTAAAATCTACCAGATCTACTGAAACTGTTTTAGATATTATACTTACAGGTACATCCAACTCGGGGAATGCTTCTTCTGCATCGCTTTCATAATCACTAGGAACAGGAATGTAACTTTTAGGAGTTCCTTCGGATTCCTATAAACAAGATTATAATATTGGATATCAAATAAACATTTATCAAACATATCGATTCGATCAATAGTAGATTACATGCAAATCGAAATAGGACAATAAAAATGATAATAGCGCAATTTGTCAAATACGCAAAAGTAACGTTAATAAAACCTATAAAAGCTTGGATCCATAACGACAAATTTATTATCGTATAAAATAAATAATACAGATAACAAAAATCTAGGGCAAACGCTCTGAGAATCCTTGACATCGCTGGACTTTATACTGACGATTATTTATTTATTGATGGTTGTATCTCAAAGGAATGGTGTTTTTCTTGAATACTGTCATTATTGTTGATTAATTAAGCTTCCTGGTCGAGTGACTTAAATTGTCTTTTGAACCAATGTCATTTTTTAAGACATGTACCTTCTACCTACTTCCGACCTTGGAGTCATGTCTTTATTATTTATATCTTCTGTATTATAAAATATGCAAATATTATTTTCTTATAATTAATTACCTGAGCGATGGGTAGAGATGACACAAGTTCAGGCTCGTCTCCTAAAGCAGTGGAGGTTCCAGCTAAACGAGCCCTGGTCAAATTCCAGAGTCGTTGCAGGGCTAATGGAGTTTCTTCGGTTTGGAGTTCCATCGCAGGGCTGGCGAGCATCTCGGTAAAGTCCGATTTCTTAAGAAAGAAAAATTTAAATTAGCTTATACGTATATCATTATAATGTCTATGGTTATTTAATTAAAGCAGATTGTATGTACACAATCAACGATACATCAGAATATGCTCAACTATCCTCAATTGATTTCATCTGTCATAAGAATGACGACTGGGTAAGAAAAAGAAATTCAATTTAGTCCGTCAGTCAGATAATTGAAAATATTAGATACGTATATTTTTTTGGTAAAAGACATAAAATTTGAGGAGTGGGCTCTCGCTACGTCACAGTTTTGTAGAAAAAGTACAAAAGCGTGACGTCATGTGACATTTAATGTATCGCCGTAATTCAACGAATACAAAAAAAAAGACTTGTTTAATATTTTTCAACAATCTACCTGACGGACAAACAAAAAGAAATACTTAATAGTCAACCCTATTGCTTACTTATTGCTTAAAGCCAATTCTATTTTCAAATGTCGAACAACTTAAAAGCATACCAATATTTAGATCTATAGAAGACTAAGTGGCTATTAAAATTTAAAGTATGTGAATGAATATTAACATTTAAAATATATTCACATCTGATATTACCACTACTGCATTGTCTTTTTCAGATATTTTTTATGGACATCTTAATATCGTAACAACTTTTATTAAACAAGATTTCTTTGCGTATAAATAGAGAGTTAAAATGTAAAAAGTTCTATATATTTTTAAAAGTTTAGTGAATACCCTCCACGTTTGAATTTGTGGAATATGTAAAAAAAATGAATAAGTATTGTTTTTTCGTCAGTAATTTCTCTAACTCTTTTGCAATTTTTGTGTTACGTTAGTCATCGGAAAATTTCACATGCTTTTGAAACACCTGTACCAATAAAACATAAGACGTCAGAAGTTCAGAAGTGAGAAAATAAAAAACTGCAATTGTTTAAAGAAAAATACATTTTACATTAATTATTAAGTTCTCATGAATATTTACGTTATAAGTTGAATTTGGGTACACTTTTACATGTTTTATTTTTTATTTGAGCAACTGCCAATAAACTCGGAAGTAACATTGAACGTACGAAGACCTAGTAGCCGATCTATTTTTACAATTAGTCCGAGTATTATAAATTTTAGAATACTCAATTTATTTTTAAATTCAATCAAAGAAATTGCTATCATATTTTATGTTACGTATTAAATTTCAATAAACAAAACACAAAGAAGCATCATATGTCGAACCATTCAAATCGAAAAGATTCAGCGTCAACATTAAAAACCTTTTTAAAGCCATTGAAAATATTTCCGAGGCCACGAATAAACTTTTTCCTTAAATACGAAGCAGGTAGACCTCTTTTGTTATATTTTTTGTGACTAGGGAAGTCGGGACACGCCTTAACTTTTTTTTTGCTTTTGTCAATAGCTGTGTCCTTAACCTGTGACGAAAATGCGTTTTATCTTGATGATTTTAATTTTGAACTCGTACTTGAAAGCATTATACAGAGTTAACTTCGAAGTTATTCATTATTATTTATAATATTTCTTGTGATGACGATGAAAGAAAGTATTCCAGAGTCATGTTCAAATTTAATCGATCAAAAATTGTTTAAAAAAGAACAACCTCTTTTTAAAGTTTTCTTTGACTCATTTAAAAAACTAACGTGTACTAGAAAAGACACATTTTCTAAAATACCGTAACAATCCGTTATGACATTATTAGCCACACAAAATACACAACTGGACATAATTTAAAAATATTACAATTGCATTGATACATTGTACAGGACCATTATAATATTTATTGCTAAGGAATCGAAAGTAATATCTAAATCCATATGGCCGACTTAGTTGCAAGAGAAAGCGAACGATCGGCCGATGCAAGTATCGTCGGCCATTTGCTGCACTCTATCGCTCTGGTTTTAACTAGAATTTTCTGTGACACTCATAGAAATTTATGGAAACTCCAATAAAATTTTCAAATGCATGTTTGCATTTAAATATCTATTTATGATTGTTTTTTTTGTATAGTTTTCATAACGGAAAGTTAATAGAAATTCCTCCTTCTTCTATTCGACGACGACGTCTTTATTTATTGTTATAATTTTCTGTTTATAAATTTACTTTATTTTTGTTGGCGAGTATTTTGTATCCAGTATTATCATTATTTTTACTGTTATTCTGTCGGAATAATTCGATCTATACCTTAAATTTAATATGCATTCATGCCATTAAACTTTCAGTAAACTTACCAAATTCGAGACTATTAAATGAAGCAAGCGCTGCAAAAACGGATGGTCAGCTTACTTGAAGACTTCAACAAAATCTACAATACAATAAATTTTTCACAGTTGTTACAGCGAACGTGTCACAGGCTAAGAATGCGTAGCGTACTGAGGGGCAGCTCGAACACAACTGATGGCTAGTGCAACAGCGATGGTATTTTAAACTTCAAATCAGTGGAGCTCCCCAGCCAAGGCGCCACATTCGGCTTACAGGAAAAAGATAACGATATGGAACATGAAAGAGACGGCGCTATGACCACGCAGAGCCCGCGTGCTCTGCCAGACAGAACTGTATACAGAAGAGGTGTTACGCGTGCGCCGAGGCTATCGATACGTAGATTTACGTCGGGGACAACGTCACTGGCCTCTTTACGGATCAAAGTTCAAATGGCTGTATTATGTCTGAATGAGGAAAGTTTACTATTAACTTTAGAAAGGGTCTCGTGATTAATATAGAAACTAATACATCTTACCAAGGGTCTCGGTGTATTTTTAACTTACAAATTATTATTATGATATTTATAGCTTCGTTATATTCGATACAAATTTAATGAGTTGGCCCAAAAATGTCAACCTTTTTAACATTCAGTACCTATATTTTGTTCATACCAGTTTTATTCCTTTATTAACACTGTAACATATTTTTTATAAATATTCGTTTTGCCAAGATTTTACAACTCTTGAGTTCTTAATCTATCAAAATGTTCACGTAATGTTTTACAAACATCCACATATCTACAGTTTGGCACGATTAATCTCTGTTACAGCCTTTAATTCTTCTGCATATAAGACAAACAAGAACTTAATAATTATAAAAAAGAAAAACGTGACTTACTAACAGTAAATTATTTAATCTTAGATGTTAGTAAACTAAACTTCTTTTAAACTTAGGTTGTTATATAAAAAACGCAAACTATGCAAAAATGAAATATTAATTTTAAGATCTAGAATATAATGGCTAAAGAAAAGGAATGTATCATATTTTATAAACTTCTGTGCGAAGTTGTCAAAACAACTTTGGAATAGTATAAGAATACGCTTTCTTTGGAATACTTTAACCATAAATACCTAAATACATGTGAGGTCGGATTTATCTTTTGTTGAAATAAATATTGACCTTACACCAAACTAAATTGAATAAAAATTATTAAAAATGTAATATTTTTTTCTATTATTTTTAGCTAAAAATTATTATAGGTAAACTTGTAATTTTTTACATTTCATAATGCTAGAATAATAAAATAGGTACTAACTCAACGATATTTCCAAACGTTAAAAACTACGTATTACACATATATGTGACAGAAACGGTTTAACATAAGCATTGGCTTGTTAAATCGATACCTATCCAAGGTATTTAAACATACTTACACATATAACTGAATAGAACCCCTGATTTTACACAGCAAAATGACCTTTGTTTATTTTTCGAGCACTTCGATAAGGATCGATTCGTAATGCTACGTGTAATTAAAGTTCCATTTCGATTTACATACGTTTTACCATTATTAGGAACTCTATAGCGAGCTACTCCGCGCTTCGGAAGGCACGTTAAACCGTTGGTCCCGGCTGCATTTGCAGTCGTTAATACCCTCCAATCCGCATTGGGCCAGCGTGAAGGGTCATGGCCCATCCTCCTTAACCATCCATAAGGAAGGCCTGAGCCCCTGCAGTGGGGACGTAAAAGGGCTGGTGATGATGGCGCAGTGGTTAGCGCGCTCGGTCTGCAATATGGTTGCTAAGCAACCTTCGCAATGGTCATAGAACGGGTGACTAAACATTTTAATAGCTTGAGCTCCTCCACGTTTTAGAAGGCGTGTTTAGCCGTTCATCCCAGCTGCATCTGCAGTAACTAATACCCACCAATAGCTATGATGGGTAATGGCCCATTCTCTCCATTCGCTTCGATTCCATCCATAGGGAAGGCCCGATCCTCACCAGGGGGGACATTAATAATAATAATATTTATTTGAGAACATATGGTTACAAAGTAGTTTTACAATTTTAGATCAACATATTTTATCGTCAAGACAATGTGCAAATATTAAAGTCAAAATACAATAAATTGTTTGATTTTATATGAAAAATAATAAAAATAAAAAATTACCTAAAAATAGCGAATGTCGAATCATAGCCATAAGATACAAAAAGTTCATATTATACTTATATACTTATACTTATAGTTCATATTGGACTTAAGCTGGTAATTATAATGCCACTATCTTGTAATGAGAAGGTATTTTTTTTCATCGTCGAATCAAATTGATATTCTGTTTTTCTTGTAAATGTAATCCTAATTAAACTTTTTATCCTCCAATTTCGCGGCAACGCAGATCACTTTTTTACAATATACCCACCAACCAATCTAGGTATTTAATTGCTGATTATCAACTTTGTCAATAAAACTATTTATTTAACAATATCATTGTCCTAAAATTATTTACTTCAGCATTATCTTTATTTATTTTTGCCTTATCACAGTAATTCTCTGTATTCGGTAAGAATATTAATCATGTTCTTCATGGTATTAACAAATATGAAAGATAAAAGTTCTTAAAAGATACAAATGAGTAAAGATATAAAAATCAAATTAATCTTTTGATTAATTTCCTGATTCTCTAAAGTCTCTATTACTAAACAAGCTTATCTTATCAATGAAACCTTACTCACCAATAAGATAGTGTTTTATCAACAAAATTCACATGCGTAGTTTGTTACGTAATCATACTTACTTTGATAAGATGATTCGTTT